CTCCAGTCCTAACTTATTTATTTTAATTTAAATAAATAACATGCACTGAAGACCTAGTTGTAAAGCGTATCGATTGCTTTCTCATCACTAAAATAACAACGCATCATTTCTCTATAACAAACATAGGTTTTGTTTTTTTATTATTATTTTGTAGGAAGAATTTAAATTATCTCTTAACTACTGAGCCATCTCTCCAGACCTCTCCATCTTACTTTTTAAGACAGGGTCTATAAATGAACCTGCAGTTCACCATTTAACCTAGACTGGCTGGCTATCATGCTGTGGGATCCACCAGTATCCTCCAATACACTGGTGTTACAGGCATGCACAGCCATGTTCACCTGTCACATGACTGCTGGGGATTTGACTTTAACCCAGGTCACCTTGCTTTCTTTCTCAGCAAGCACTCTTACCCACTAAGCCCACCTTCCTAGCCTTTCAATGGTAACATCAGTTAGCCCAGCACCAGATTTAACAGCTTCCCAGAGAGAGACTCTTTTTTTACTTTGTTTTAATTTATTTATTTATTTATTTTTATTTTTTGGTTTTTCAAGACAGGGTCTTTCTGTGTATCCTTGGCAGTCCTAGAACTCCTCTGTAAACCAGGCTGGCCTTGAACACAGAGATTCACCTGCCTCTGCCTCCCAAGTGCTAGGATTAAAGGTATGTGCCTTTAGGGCTAGAAAGATGGCTCAGTGGTTAAGAGCACTGACTGCACTTCCAGAGGTCCTGAGTCCAAATCCCAGCAACCACATAGTGGCTCACAACCATCTGTAATGAGATCTGATGCCCTCTTCTGGTGTGTCTGAAGACAGCTACTGTGTATTCATATATAATAAATAAATTAAAAAAAAAAAAAAAAAGGTATGTGCCTTTAATATCGAATGGCTTCCAAAGAAAGACTCTTATGCTCGGCGGGATTATCTATACTTTTGCCAATGAAACTTGCTAAGATTTAAATTATATGAGTAAGCTGTGATAGTATTTTAAAACAAATATTAAAAACAAAATAAGGGAAACCTGAAAGAAATAGCATTTAGTTTCCAATTATTATGGTGCAGTTTCTGCTGTTAAACTGTTTATTGCTTAATTTTAAAACTGCTCCTGCCAACTGTTATTTACAAATAACAGAATTACAGTCCTTTCTTTTTTTTTTTTTCTTGGCGGGGGGAGGGAGGACAACAGAAGCAGAAGCACATTCCTTAAAAAAAAAAAAAAAGTAAAGTTTACCTCGGGAGGCAGATACAGGGAGATCTCTGTAAATTCAAGGACTACCTGCTCTATAAATCAAGTCAAGGATAGCCAGGGCTGCACAGAACAACCCTGTCTCAACAAAACAAAAACAAAGCAGAAAAAAATTCTTCTGGAGATTGTCCTAATGCAAATGTAGTAATTTGGTTGGAGTAAAATTATTTAAATAGCTTTGATTTTATCAAGTGAACATCCTAACATTTTTCATGACTAGAGTAATAGAGAATTAGTTGAGTCATCTACTTTGGCACATAAAAAGAAAATATAAGAACACATTAAAAGACCTTCTTAGAAACATTTTTGCTAAGCTTTTAATATGCTCTTTCTCCATTGGTTAAATGCCAGTTTCTCATTTGGCTTAGAACACCCTTTAAAGAATAAAGCAGGGCTAGGAAGATGGTTCTACAGTTAAAAGCACTTGGCAAGTTCAGGTCCCCAGAACTCACATAAACATTGGGTGGGTACAGTGGCCCACCTGTAATCCCAGTCTCCAAGGACAGAGTCAGGGGTTCCCCCAGCAAGCTAGCTAGCACAACCAGATCTTAGTTTAACTGAGAGTTTCTGTCTTGAAATAACATGAAAGGACAATCTCAAAATCTCATAATACATTGCTTCCCTACAAAAATTTAGAACTATAAGATCGGAGTGGATAGACGGTCGGCACCTAAGAGCACATAGTGCTCTCCCAGAGACCTGAGTTTAATTCCTAGCAGCGCACAATGTCCTACTTCATAGAACCTGATACCTCTTGCCTCCAGGCACTTGTATGTACACAGACAGACTGACAGAGAGAGAAACACACATTAAAAATAAACATTTATCCACTTTAAAAGGCTATTTACTAAGATGAGAAAAATGTATTTTCAAGCATTAGAAAACTATGTGATTATCCCTCACCCACCCTCCTTGGTTTTTTGAGACAGGGTTTCTCTGTATAGTCCTGGCCTCAGATCCCCACAACTAGAGTTACAGATGGTTGTGAGCTGCCTGAGTTGAACACCTACCTGCTACAAGAGCAGCTAGTGCTTTTAACTGCTGAGCCTTTTCTCCAGTTCCCTACAAAGTATTTTTAATAAAAATGAATCTGTAGGTCTTTCAATCTGTAGAACAGAATTTTGAAGAATTAAACAAGATACAGATCTCCTAAATTGGCATTTGAGAAGCAATGACAACTTGGGCTGGGGTCAGAGCTTAGAGGACTTGCCTAGCAGGCACAAGGCCCTAGCAGTCTATAGCTACTTTGGCTAAGTGTTTCTCCATTAACACTAGATATTAGAATAACTAGGACGGATTTAAAAATATAGGTCGAATATACATAACCAGAAAATCCAAAATCCTCCAAAGTCCAATACTTTTAAGTATCAACATTATGACACAAATCAAAAATTACAGACACACTAGTGTCCAATGTGGTTCATTCACAGAATGATCTCAGCACTCAGGAGGCAAAATTAGGAAAAAATAGGAATTTAAAGACAATCTGGACTACTTAGAAAGGCCTTGTCTCAAACAACAACAACAAAAAAAATGTTTCCTTTTCCATCTAGCTGTGAGCAAGCCACTGCATGCTCCTTCTGCAGTGAAGTCTTCCTTTCTATAATAGACTGCATCTCTTAGAACATAAGCCAAAACTCCTCCCTTGAGTTGATGTGTGTCAGATAATTGGTCATAGCAACAAGAAAAACAGTGATGGTGCAAGCCTTTGATCTCAGCACTCAGGAGGCAGAGGCTGGCTGATCTCTGAATTGGAGGCCAGCCTGGTCTACAGAGTGAGTTCCAGGACTATACAGAGAAACCCTATCTAGAAAAAACAAAAGAAAAAAGAAAAGTAACTAATATAAAAATTCCACATTAAGAAGTGAGGCTGTTGTTGCAATATACTGATCATATTGTTCTGTGGACCTTAGAACTGGTTTGCAAGAGGAATTGTAAGCTATGGGTTAGAAAACCCCTAGAAAGTTAAGAGGTTAGTGAACCATGCATTGATGCCAAAATGCTGATAAAAGTATAAGCAGTAGACACTATGCTCATTTGGCTTCAGGGAACAAGGATTCTATAGGCAATCAAACTAGAGCCCATTCACATTACACTCTGACAAAGAACATGGCTGCACTCTACCTGTGGTTTGAAATTTTTAGTAAAGCTATATTCAAAATAATTGAGTATAAGGGAATTGTTCTCCAAGGCATTTCACTTCAACTAAGAATGTCAATTTCATTTTAATTTCAATTTTCTGAATGCAAGTTGGGAATGGTGGGCAGCAGTCAGTAAACAGAGACAGGATAGACAGTTGGAGGTCATCCTGAGCTACCTCCTCTCAAAACACAAAAGGAAAAAGATGAAAAAACTGGCAATTTGCATCTTTGGTAACATTACTTCTAATTACTACATACTTACTAATGACTTTTTAAAATTCTTTTCCAGCACTAGTGTTCAAACTCAGTTTCATGAATACTAAACAAGCATGCTCAGCAAGTCTCAATGAAAGGTCTCCAAAAGCAGGCCATGTTTATTTCAACTAGTTACATTAAGTCATATTGTGTGTTTAAACCTATGTCAGATTCAGTCTATCACAATCAGGTAGCTGTCTCATCAATTTCTTCAAAAAAGGCACCTACTGTATAAAGAAGATGCTGTGCTTGGTTTAATTCAGACTACATGATAATACTAAAGTCTGAGTCAAATCAGAATAAGCTACAGATATAACCACCACAAAATGACAAAAGCTGTATTACTACATTGCAATTCTATATTAACTGTAGCAGTTGCTAATTTTCTCAATGAATATAGGAAATAGCTTCTTTCCTCTTTATGCTAACCTACAAATACGTTCTGCAAATGTATACTTAACCTCTACAACACAGATGTTCTATCTGTATTCTATTTCCAATGAGAACCTAACCAGTCTTCGTATTTTAATTATATCACAAAACTATTTTTAGTGATAACTCTTTTTCAGAGGTAACTCTAGAAGTCAATAAGCATGTTGATCAGTTAGTGGCAGAGACATAACTGTATGTTGGTGACTAAGAAGTCTCATAATTGCAGTATTTAATACCTACTGTTGTATTTAATACCTACTGACTCAGACCAATGAGCTCTCCAAGTGCCACTAGCTAATACAAGTTTGTCAGGATTTAAAGTCAGAGGTGGACGTCAGAATCCATTGCACTACCCTGGACTCTCATACATAAACAAAGAGATCTAATATGAAGGACCTTTGACTCAAAGCAACATAGTGAAAACAAAGTATCGTGATTTGGGAAGAAAAAAATCCCTTCTTTAAACTGATTACAAAAGAATACTGCTCTTACAAAAATATTAGGGATCGATCAGCAATGATCTTCCTTATGCATTCTGAGGTTTCCAACCCTATCAAGAACTCAAGTTTCAGAACTTAAACATACAATGAGCCGATAGGAGAACTGGGGACAAAAGGGAGCTCCTGTATCTTTGGGAGAGATCCTGTTTGCATCACGTGCCCAAGGACCAATCAAGCTGGAATACAAAAATGATGCAGCCCAAAGAGGGCTTCGCACTGGGACCCGACCCACAGCCATCCAGAGTCTCAGCTGGACCCGTGAGTCCAACACTAAACATCTCCAGCCCAAAACATCACAGATCCCCTAGGACTCCAGATCTTAACCCTGATTTTCCCACGAGTACCAGGAAACCCAAAGTTCACAATCTCAATAGAACAGCTCCCTTCCGAACTCGCTGGCAACCGCGCCCTCGGGCCCTCTACTTACAGGCCGGAGATGTCGGGGGGCAGTGGGCCCCACAGTGCCCTCCAGCTGGGCGCGGGCAGCTTCCTGCGACTGCAGTCCAGCAGAGGAAGGCGGCAGGCACAGGGCGCCGGGCACAGGCCGGCCCAGGCAGCGGGCAGCAGCAGCAGCAGCAGCGCCTGCGCAAGGATGAGCAACCGTGCGAGGGGTCCCAAGCCATAGCCCAGGCGCCGCTGCTCCCAGACGCCGCGGGGCGCGGCCGCCATCTTCCCCCGGCCCGGACCCGCTCGAGGACAGCAGCTAGCTCAGAGTTAGCTGAGGAGATGCCCCGAGGCTGAACCGCTACCCGGAGCCCAGGCCGTCACCTGTCCCCTCTCAGAGCAGGCGAGAGAAGGAAACGACGCGACCGCAGGGGAGGGGGCGGTGGTCGGGGGCGTAGAGCAGAAACCCTGACAGACACCGCTCGTCCGCCCCGCCCCGCGACGCAACGTCCTCACGCTCCAAAACCAGCCAATCGGAGCCCCAGGATGAGGTTGCGTCGGAAATTGGTTCCTGAGAGGGGCGAGGCCTAAGATAGCCCGGCCCCCTAGGAGGCGCGCATTAAAGTGGCCCTTTCTCCTTTCTCCTTTCTCCGAGCGTCTTCTGCAGTTCTGCAACCGCTTGTGGGCGCACTAGGTCCTTAAAATAGATTGGCAGAGCTAAACTCAGAGCACCAAATCCTCACTGCGGTTGATCTGCTGTATAGTAGAGAAGGACCTATTCTGTAGGCTTCAGGAGAAGGGAATGATGTAAGGGTTGCCTTCCAAGCCGCAGCCGCAAATGAGTGCGGAATCCAAGCCAAACTTCGATGACATCGGCCTCTGGAGCCTAACTTGGGCGACCTCTGAGGCACGTACTCCCTACCCTGAAGAAATGTGGCAGCTGGTACGCAGCACGCTGTCACTGTGAAAGGACTTCAAGTTCCCACTGGCAGAGGCACTATTTAGTTATCAGTACACCTCCAGCTTCTACTGTAGCCTGGAGTTCAATAATTGTCTCTACGGAAAATTCTTTCCTCAGTTTGGGAAAATATTGTTTCATCTTCAGAAAAACAAATGGGACTAATAGATAAAGGGTTGGTTTGGGGATGTGGGTTTTCTGGTTTCTGTTCGTGGTTTTTGAACAATCAACAAAGTGAAGGCTGGAAGGAAATTATTCTGAAGTAAAGACTTATTAGGAACAGCGGAATCTAGCTACCTTGTGCTTTCTCCACTGTGTGTTATCTACGAAGTAAGTAAGACTGAAAATATCAGTAATGGCTCACTGACGTGTAGTATGTTTATACTTGCAAAGACTTTGCAAGCCAGGTATGGACCTGCATGCCTGCAATCCCTGCACTCTTTGGAAGTTTGAGGCAGGGGAATCCAAGTCCCAGTTCAGTCTCAACTGCATAGTTATACTTTGTATCGAGGAGGAGAAAAGAAAAACAGGGTGGGCAAGATACTTCAGCAATAATAGTCTTGCCACCAAGTATATCAATCTGAGTTGGATCCACAGACCCCACATAGTGGAATGAGACAACTGACTCCTGCAAGTCCCTATCCTCTAATCTCCATATGCACACTGTGGCACTTACACACACACCATTTCCATCCATGTCATACCTTTGGAATAAAATTACTTTTCTGACTGTCCTCATGTGTTTGTCTACTGCATAGGACTTTTAGAAAGCAGTCTCCCTTCAGCCTCTTCTCCCTTCTCACAGTAAACATGATCATGAAAATTAACAGCAACTGCTATTTATTATCATTGAAACAAAATGTGAAGCCAGAAAAATGATAGAGATATTGGACTACATCAAAAATTTACACTTTGGGGACAGAAGAGATGGCTCAGCTGTGAAGTAAGCATATAATGTTCTTGCTGAGGAGCAAGGTTCAGTTCCCAGCAGACACACTGGACAGCATGAAACCCGGCTCCAAGGATTCTAATGCCCTCTTCTGGCCTCCGAGGGCTTTCTGGGAGAGGAACAAGAGCCATCTCTCCAGCCCCTGATTTTTTTTTTCAATGTGTTTGAGTGTTTTGTTAGCATGTATTATCTGTGTACCACTTGTATGCAGTGCCTGAGGAAGGCCAGAAGAAGGCAAGGGATCCCCTGAGACTAGAGTCACAGAAGATTGTGGGTGCTAGAGATCGAACCTGGGTTTCTGCGGGTGCAGCCAGTGTTCTTAACTGCCTAACCATCTCTCTACCCAGCCCAACTCCAATTTTATTTTTATAGTATAGGGGTCTCACTCTGCTCTGTATTCCAAGGTGTCCTTAAACTCAAGAGCATTCAGCCTCAGCCTCCTGAGTGCTCTGGTTACAGGCATAAACCACCATGCCTGGCAATTTTATTTTAAAATAGTTAAATTTCTTATTATTTTATGGTTAATAACATTTTTACATCTTAAAGCATCTATTTCTACTCCAAAGTAAAAAAAGTCTTTCATAATTCTCTTCTTAAACTTTTATAGATTTGTATATAATTTTGGTCTGGAATTGATTTAAAATTTAAAATTTATTTATTTTTACGTATGTAGCTGTTTTGTCTGCATGTCTGTATCATGTGCATGCAGTGCCCACAGCGACCAGAAGAGGGCATTGGATTCCCTAGAATAGAGTCACAGGCCATTTGTTGTAAGCCACACTCTGGGTGCTGGGAATTGAACCTGGATCCTCTAGAAGAGCACCCAGTGCTCTTAACTGATAAGCCATCTATCTCTCCAACCACTGATTATTGTATGTGTGCGTATATGATATGTGGTGGTGTGTGTGTGTGCCATGATTCTATCATAGTAGTCAGAGTGGAGATCTTTGTCAAGTAGATCTCTTCCTTCATCTTTTTATGGGTTCTAGGGACTGAACGCAGAATCAGCTTTGGATAACAAGTGCCTTTATCTCATGTACAATCTCCCTGGGCCTTGTATTGATTTTTGCATATGATTAAGAAAAGATCCAGGTATCACATGTCTTTGATCCCATTACTAAGGAGGCAGAGACAAGCTGATCTTGAGTTCTAGGCCAGCTTGGTCTGTGAAGTGAGTTCCAGGACAGTCAGGGCTACACAGAAAAACCCTGACTGGAAGCCCACACAAAAAAAAGAAAAAGAAAAAGAAAAGAAAAAGGATCCAAGTTCTTTTTTTTTTCCTCTCATGTGACAATCCAGTGAGCTTAGCTTCATTCAGTGAAAGTTCTGTCTTTCATCACTACTCTGAAGTTCTATGTCATTAATCAAATATCTAATTAAACATCTGATATGTATCAAAAGTCAGATGAACTTTCTATGGGGCAGTACTATATTTTTGAATTACAGTAGCCTTCAAATATATCTCCATAGCTGGCCCAGCCAGTTCTTCTACATTTTCCACCCCAACTGTATCTTTGCTGTTATTTTCACCTCCCACACAGATTGAGGTTTTTTCCTTAGGACTGCACTGAATCTATGCATCATCCCGACGGAACTTGACAGCTTTATAGAAATAAGTCTTTCAGTCTGAGAGCATAATATACTTTTCCCTATTTGGCTGTTTTGTTTCTTTTAAGATTTATTTATTTATTTTATATTTGTGAATACACTGTCACTCTCTTCAGACACACCAGAAGAGGGCATCGCATCCCATTACAGATGGTTGTGAGCCACCATGTGGTTGCTGGGAACTGAACTCAGGACCTCTGGAAGAACAGACAGTACTTTTAACCACTGAGCCATCTCTCCAGCCTCTTGTTCTTGGTTGTTTGGTTGTTTGGTTTGGTTTTTTGTTTGTTTTTTTTTATATTACATTTATTGTGTGTGACCACAGAATGCATATAAAAATCAGAGGACAACTTACAGAAATTGATTATCTTCTTCCACCATGTAGGTTCTGGTGTTTTCATATCGAATTCCAGGCCAACTAGGGCTACATAATAAATAAAATAAGTAAATAAACAAGTAAATAAAACAAGTGAGAATAGTAACACATACCTAAAATCCCAGCATTTGGAAAGTAGAGACAAGAGTATTAGAAACTCAAGGCCAGCCTTCAGTACCTAGGCAGTTTGAGTCTAACCCCTATGCTACATGAGAGCCTGGCAAAAAACAAAAACAAACTTGGACTTGGTAGTACACACTTATAATCCCTGTACTTAGAAGGCCTCAGCAGTAGAATTGTTTCAGGCTGGAGGCTAGCCTGAGCTAGACAGCCAGCCTTAAAATTAACACTTATGGAGATCTTGTCTCAATAAACAAAAATCAAGACTAAAAACTAAAAATGAAACAGAACTCAGGCCTGGTGACTCTGTCCAAGCTGATATAATCCCATCACTCAGGAGTCTGGGACATAAAAAACACAAGTTCAAGGCCAACCTGGACTACAGAGTGAGTTTAAAGCCAACCTGGGCATTACCTGGGCTTTTATTTCTGTCTCAAAATAAAAAATAAAAATGAGCTGGGCATGTAACTCAGTGCCTTAGCTTTACTTAGAGTTACTCCTTGCCTAGAATATTCAAAGCCTTAGGTTCAATCACCAATATTATAAAAGTAAAAAAATCCAAAGGACCTAACCTTCCAGAAAACAAGACTCATAACAAGGCCTTAGCTAGTAAGGAAGGAAAAAGTGTGGGGGTAAGCAAATAGACAAGGGGTACAGAATTAAAGTCAAATAGGGGTACAGAATTAAAGTCTGTGTAAAGGTGATACATGACTTTCCATAGGTGAAACTTAGCAGCCACCCAGTGTCTACCTACTAAAAAACAGAAAGGTGCAGTAGCATTAGGGAGGACAACTATCCACACCCCATCGTGACTGGGAAAAACAAACTGCCAACGACAAGCACAGCACAGCCAAAGTAACAAAGTTCAAAGTATGCACAGAGAAGGTGGCGAATGCTACTGTAAGAAGAGACAGAACTGACAAGCACCAGGTTGGAGGTGTGTGAGGGAGGTGGAGACAGAGCTCAGTTGGTGAAGTGCTTGCCTAGGATTTGGGAAGCCCTGGATTCCATCCCCAGAACCTCATAGACCCAGGCGTGGTGGTACCTGCCAATAATCTTTGCACTCAGGCAGGAGGATCTCACATTCAAGGTCATCTTTGGCCCCATCAAAGCCGAGGCTAGCACAGACTGCATGAGACCCTGTCTCAACAACAGGAAAAAAGAGAAAAAGGAAAGGGGATGGAAGAGATGAGAGAGATAAAGAATCCAGGGGTTGGGGGTGAGAGCCAATTCCCATCTTGGTAAAGGAAGAGGTCATCACCTATGTACAGGCCTCTGCGGTGAGGAGAGTAGAACCCAGAAAAGATCCTTTCAGTAATGCTACACTTTGTGGAGTTTTATTCACAAGGTCAGGTTTCATTTAGTTTCTTTCCATCTCTGTGCCACCAGTATTTCCAAGTTATCCTTAAAAGCAACGCAGATAGGTGCTTTGATTTCATCAAATATCAGAATTATCCTGAAACCTTGTGGGGTTTTTT